CCGAGGCACGCGTATGTGATTAAAAGTCCCGAAAGTTAGTTTGCGTTGCTCTTTGATTGACAAGTCACTGTTGAAGTTATATGCAAATGATTGCTGGCCTCAGAGCAGCGGTGTGCGACTTCCTGTCCTGGCTCTCTGTTTACTTACCTAAAGCGCGATCAACTAGCAAACTACAAAAAAACAAGACATAGACGCTTCCAGCATGCAAGCGGAAGAAACAAAACATACAGTTGTAAATGATAAGTGATTTAATTTTCATGCAAAACAAGGCCACAATTTCTTTTGTTTTCTTGGTGCATAGATTTCAAGCTTTTTCGCATTGTGGGAGAAACTAAAAAATGTTTCCACACATTTTTACTCCAACGGCATTTTAACACTGAAGTAAACATTTTTCGTTTCGCTGTAACGATTATCGTGCTGATAGAATTGCGATGCAATTGACAAACAACACTGCTGTTGCTGTCATCGATAACTAACTTTTAAGTGTCAAATACACAAACGTAAAATGCTCGGTTAATTAAAAATATAAAAAAAATACTCTACTCTGGAAATTACAGAAAAATCGGCAACGAGATGCTTTTTTTAAACACCGAGGAAAAACCATGCACTCTGCGATGCCATCTTGTTTACCTTAATCGGAACCCCCCCCCCCCTTGTCAGCTAGCATGCACCGGAAGCGATGTCGTTGTATGGCTTTTATCGGCGACCTCCGGTACTAAGGCACTCTATGAATGAGGTATTTTCAGAGGTCAGGGTTCGTTTAATTTTTATCGACCCGTGTCGTCTGTAGTTCAATGAAACCTGCCTCGATTTACAATAGTTTCCCTTCCAATGAGATTTCATTTCGAATTTGTTTCACCGGTGTTTGGGTGATTGAGTAGTAAAACGAATAGCCGTTGTGTAGTAAAATATTAGATCCCATTTCAGCCGGGTCGTCTAACTTCGCACGGTCCATGGAAACTGCGTCATACAAAGTATTTTTTAAAGGTGGCTAAAATTGGCTCCATGACCCACCCAACGGCGATCGCTATGTTTATATAACTGTATGAATATCTCATCGGCTTTACGTAATCCATTGTGTCCCTCCCTCAGTGGAATTGATAACACGACTTCGCGGACGATTTTTTGTCCGTTTCCCTCGCATTGTAAATATTTTTATTTAATTTTTTACCTGACGATTTAACATCAGCAAATTATGGTGCATTTCTATGAGTTTCTATTACACATATGAAGCGAATGATTCGTTTTATCATTTGTTTAACAAAATTGCGATTATCTATGTTTCATTTTTTACTAAACATTTCAACTTTAAAACTATTTAACTTCTAGACGGTTCATTTGTTTTCAATGAAATTTTCAGGGGTGATTATTCAGGTCTATCCTAAGTAAATGGCTTTGTGTGGTTTCACTGTCTTCACTGAACAGAAACAATAGAGCTGCCAATGCTAGAGGCTCTGTTAATTGTGAACGATTTATAAAATGTGAATGTTTCAAAGAGCACGGTGTAAAAACTTGTCAATGGAAACACTTATAAATAAGGCATTATGTTTCTAAAGTTTTAAATAGGTATTTTAAATCAAAATCAGGGTATGTATCCAAAAGTTAAATAGTTCTAAGTGCACTTTCACCTAAAATATATGATTTTAACCCAAATCCATACCACATCATAGTACATTATTGTAAACCATAAAACTCAAAAGTTTAAATAAAGCTCTTTCAAATGATATATAACTTGAAGGGTAAAAATTATATTTTACCCGTGTAAATACAGTAATTAGAGCCAAATAAAAATATAGTCTCCCAACCTGCATCTCTTCTTTAAAAGTGATAAGTAACCTCATTTGTCTGATAGAAGAGTAAAAGATTAATGAAACAGAATAGATGTAATGCTTTTATTCAAAGTCGAGGATTGATTGTGAATGGGATCTCCATATTGTCATGAAATGAGACCAACATGTTAGGAATTTAAAGCACATATAATATACTGACCGTCAGTGGTTAGACTGCTATCCGCGATCAAAGTGACCACAGCTGTAGTGGCGTTCTTTACTGAATGAGTTGACATGCTTGCAAGGTGAATATTCAATATAGTGCATGAGCCATTTAGGCTTACCTGTACCATTGGGGGGGGGGATTAATTCTCGTAGTGATTTTTGTAAGCTTAGTATCCATAGATTATATGTATATGATAAGCCTCTGTAATGAGTAGTTTTTTTGTCTTACCACTTCAGTTGTGTTATG